AATGTAGATGAGCAGAATGAGGTTGCTGCAGAAAGTGATGCGATAGATCCATGCTCGGAACTGCCAGCCGGAGGAGGCATAAAGAGTCAGGCTGCCGGTGAAGAAGCAGCCGACGGCCAAGCTGATGAGCCATTTGGTGAGGAGGGAGTGAACGGAGGGTGGAAACGATTTGCCGATCAGAATGACGGTTTCTGAGCTCACGAATGAGACGACGAGTCCGGCACAGAATAAGAGTCCTCCGAGGATGCGGAAGCAGATGAGCCACCGCTTCAAATGCATGTTTTGGCGTCGGTGACGGGCAGAAGAGCTGGCAGCGACATTTATTGCAGACGGCCGGTGGTTGCAGGAGAAGTCAAGAGGCAAGCCAATCAGTGGTACGTCTGCGTGTCTGCGTGTCTGCGTGTCTGCAAGTGTTGGTGCTCTGGGAGACCACGTGGAGGCGAGACAAGTTGTCGGGGCGTGAGGCTGGCCCGAAAAGCGCTGGCAACCGGGTCGAGCTGGTCACGAGTTGCCGGGCGTCCGGTCAACCGGTCACCAGGTCCGATCTCATCCGAGAGAGACGTGGCCGGGAGGAGGTGGAGGCCTTCTGAACGAAAGATAGAAATAACCGGTTTATTTGAGGATATAGTCATCCAATTTCGTTTGTGGTCTCAAGGGAAGTGGTGCCTTTTCGGGACAATCCAACTGGCAGATACAATATTTGTAAATGATGAGGAGCAACTGAAAAAAAAACGAAAAACCGAGTGCCTCTTGGAAAGGATTTGGCCAAATCTCATCCGGTCCATTCACCATTTTGCCAACCCAAAGTCGCCCTCCTACCAAGAGAACGTTGTTTCCGTTGCTAACGTTACCGTGGGGCAATTGTGGTCCACTTCACTTCATCGGATGTACCAACTGCTGCCGATCGGCTACTGTCTCAGACGGGCACGTGCCAACTTCCGGACCACAAACACGTGGCCCGTCAACCGGTTGCAGGAGCGCGATTAGAATTGAAATGAGTTGACTGGAATGGATTGGAATGGATTGGAATTGAGTGGACGACATCTTGAGTAAGTTCTACAAAAATGAACATTCCATCTTGTTTTCTCAACTTGATCCTGTTGGTACATTCTCCGACATTCTTCGCCGGCATAGTTCGTAGACGGCAGCATTAGTTTGTCTGGCCGCGAATTACGACAACTAATGGAGCAGAGGAGTGTCCAACCTGGTCGCCATGGCAACAGGACCAAGTTGTGTAAATGCGAACGAGGCTGGCGCCATCTTGATCTTCATATCTTCGAGTACAATTGATTGTTTAGTGAATTGTAATCGCTTAATTGTGAGTGATTTCCAAGAAATCTGGCTTGTTCTGCAAAGCAGCGATGAGAAGTTACGAGGTGCAGTTGACACGTCAGTCCATCGTGGATGAGATTTCCCATTTTGGAGGCAAATCGAGATGACATTCAATTCATTTTATTGTGGCAAATTGTCCAATGTATGAAACACAGGACGAACCAAGCCATGATATTGTCAAGGCTTTTCTTTATATCAAATCGACTGGTAGTCTCGAAGAGCTACTTATAAGGCGAAAATAAGTAGTGCAGTCGATTGTTACAACTCTGAATGTGATGCGGAAAATGGACTGATCTTCTTTGAAGCTTTCCAATCAGCTGAATGCCATTTCGAGCAAAGACTCGTTAACCTGAAATGTCTTGTAGGACTGCTCCTGTTCGATGCAAACTCACTGTTTGTTCACAGAAACGACAGAAGATTGCTTCCAACACAACGCCGACAAGAACATTTCAGCCAAGCCGCCGTCTTTTGTTGTCAACCACATGTCGCAATCTCCTCATCAAACACACCTCCTCTCATGATGGACACAAGCGCAAAAAAGTGTCCGTTTGTCTCATCCAACATTTGCTCGGCCTGACAGTCACCGAGTCGCCGAGACCCGTGACCATGTGTCGTCACGGTGGCGTGACGAGAATACGCGCTGTCGTCTCAGCTGGGACTCACTTTACCGAATATCCTGCTCCAACTGCTCACTACTGCAATAACTCGGTAAGTAGTATAGCACAGTATTGCACATTTCAGTTTAGTCTATTAACATGATGGAGTTGTCCAGACGGTTGAGTGTGATGAGAGACTGTCGGCAGACGAGCGAGGTTGTGTGAGTGGATTGGGAATGGGGTGAAAATGGAGAAAAGTCTCGACCAATCACAGCAGACGAGACTTCAGACAGTCTGTGCCAAGGGGATTATTGTGTGTCGTGACGACAAACAGGAGACAAAGAGTGATAGGAAGGAGTGTTTGTTGTCAACAGGGCTCGTCACCTCCTCGTCGGCAGACGTGGGCAACGAGCCGAAAAGCCGTTTTTGTCGGCATTCCGGCAGTCGCAGTTGTCGTCACACCCGCACAAAGTGCATCTGGCGCCAACTCTGACGGCGGCGTGTACAAGAAGTCGACCCGGAGACGACAAGTTCATGTCTGAAGGGATTGGGATTCGGTTGAGCGACTCGACAAGTGCCCTCTCCGACGCCTCGGGCCTCGACAAGACACACACACACACACACACACCCACACACCGGCCGGATTCATCCGTGCTGGGACGAACTGGATGAACTTGAAGAACCGGAAAAACCGGAAGAACCGGACGAACAGGGTCAACTGGTTGTTGCCATCGCCTCGACTTCTCGGAGGAACCACCAGGTTGCCAGGGCCTCGGCATGCCGGCGTTCGTGGGCCATGAAACTGCCGCAGACGTCGACCTCCGGCCGGTGACACGTCGAGCCCACCGGACCAGAGCCTCGGGTCCGGCCGTCTCGCCGGCCTCGTCTCGACGGCAACGGAACACGCGTCTCGCATTCGCTCGGTTCGGCGTCGCCTTGACGACACCAATTGTCTGCGACACCGCGTCAGACACAGTCACCATCAGATGGGATGTGGCACGAGAGCGACACACAAACACAGATAGGTCAAGAAAGAGAGAAAGAGACGATCGACTAAGTTGCACATGTGTATCGTGTGTGTCTGCAGCACTAAAGTGAGACCGTCTTGATTTGGTAGCTCTGCTGACAGTCACATGGTTTCGACCACTTCAAGATTCGGCACGCACACACAAACACACACACACACACACACAGAAATATATGTATATATATATCTGTATGTATAAGTATATGCATAAATGCATACAAAAGAAGAGTTCCAGTCGACCTGGGTCGGATAAGGTGATGCAGGAAGGAGAGTTGACTTCTTCCAAAATGCGAAGAGAATTCATTCAATTGTTGGCAGCGTTGCCACCCAAAAGACATTTGCTTCATGTGACTGCGAGCAATGTCAACTAGCAGTCCCCCACCACCACGTGCGACCGAGGCCGAATGGAGCTCGGGCTCT